GAGAGCAAAAGAGTCTATTCCTGACTCAGTAAGTCAGGAGTCAGGAATCCTGGTTTCCACATATTAATTGTTCTCTGCCATAAAACCTATAAGCATCATATGCACGCTATGCTGCACTGGGCTTAAGCAGCACATAGATTTTGGTTTCTCATGAAAAATTCTGTTCTTCCAAACTATGACTGTGTCTCCAAATGGCAGTTAATAAATCACACATATGTAAACTTCTTCAATACTAAGAGATGCAGTGACTATGCTAGTAGAATGGAAGTGTCATTCAGTTATAATAGACAAGTCAAACTATTAACTAGTAATTGGAGAACAACAGCTAGGTTAGGTAAGGAAAGAATACAGGTATGTCAGGAATTCAAATAATGTTTTAAATTAGTTGGTGAGAATCAATTGATATAATGTGAAAACACTTTTAAACTTGAATGTTTTATATGCAGATGCAAATTCTAGTAACATTCATCATCATAGATGCATGTATTCTTTTAAAGATATTAATGAACTTATAATCTTGATGAAAGATTTTTTTAAATACCATTAAATTACTTCAAGTCTTTTGTATATAAAATGAAGGTAGTAAAATCTATGTCACTTCAAATGTAAGCACTAACTAGTGCTTTCAATTTTATAGATAAAAATCTTGAACAAATGTAAAAATATGAAACACACCTGAAGATAATTATATCTTTGGCTAAGTCTTATGATGGGAAGACTCTTAAAATGGCTCAAAAATATTAAGCCATGTCTTATTAAAAGCTTCTAAACCATAATTTCAATATATAAAATTTAATATTAACAAAAACTATTTAAAGATACACAACACACAGACAGACAGACACATCCTTGATGCCAACAATTCACCAGGATCACCAAAAATTAAAGGACATTTGCAATTATTTAAATTATAACCTTAAGATAAATTGCGAGCAGCAAATCTATTGTCAATAACAGACAACTAGAAAACAGAAAATAAGGAAAAATGCCCAAATCAAACTTCAGACACAATCACAATTTCAAAACTCTCCACCGTTACTTAAAATTCTGGAAAACTAGTTTAGATTGCTTTATTTTGAATGCCATATTCACAAAACTTAGTTCAATATGAACTTCCAAACATTTTATGTACAGACTCATTTTTTTAAAGGTAATTCTGATCTAGATATGTCAATACATTCCTACTGGTAACTTTAACAAAAAATTACCTTCCCTTTTATTCCAAATTAGGAGTAAAAAAATGCATCAAATGAATTTTTTTTAAAAAAGTGGGGGGCTCCCCTGGGAGAGGTAATAGTAAAAGTAGTAATTTAGTGTTGAAGATGCAAAATTTATCCTTTCCTTAATAGTTTTCTGGATTAATCAAGCTAAGACTGCAATGAATTCAAAGTATATAATATGAACAGACAGGCAAGGTTTTTGTTTTATATATGAAGTACATATAGTTACACAATTCTGATCAAATGTTGATATCCCTGTTTACAATCTTTCACCACTTCATTATGAATTTTTATTCTTTCCTTTTCATACCCAAGTATTCCTTAAGTTTGAAGTATTGCTATATAATTTAATGAGCCATATATATCAAAATTATGCTATTTATTAATACTGAGCCCTAAATTTCAATACAAAACATGTAGCTAAATCAAAGACCACACTCCATAAATGCATTGCTCTAATAACGGCACTTTTAAAAATATTTACCAAGAAAAAATAATCCATCTTTTGCACAATTAAGCCACTCAAATTTAGAGGTCAGATATGTACTAATTTTAATCTACAACTGATGAATCTAGCAATTAATAATGCACACACGGTTCTTAGCCACTGTACTTCTGTTCCTTCTGTTCAAATTCTCACTCAACCCTGCCCCTTATTTCTTTACAAAGAAATTCACAGGTAGAGAACAGATTCAAGACAGAATATCAAAAAGTAATATCCCTTGAAAATCTGCATCTAAGTATGAAAAATATCTAAAAGCATGATATACAAATTACATGAAACACAAAAAGTATACATAATGTTCAAATAATAATAGCAAAATTATCTGTGTATATAAATTTTTAACAATGTATAAGGAGAGTAGGTGTGGTAAAGGACACATATAATTGTAGCTACTAGGGAAGTTGAGGTAGGAGTATTACAAGTTCCAGGTCAGCCTGGACAAACTGTCTCAAATGAAAAAAGGGCTAGAGATGTATCTCAGTGCTTTCCTAGCATGTATGAGCCCCCAGATTCAATGCCTAGTACAGAAAAAACAATGTATAAAGAAGGGCTGGTAGAGTAGCTCAAATGGTAGAACACTTGCTTAGCTTGTGCAAGGTCCTGGCAATCAATCCCTAACACAGAAAAAAAAAAGCATAAGGAAATATTAAAATAAAAAAGAATCAGTAAATAAAAAATACAAAATGTAAAAAAAATCAAGGTTAAAGTATATCCTTTATAAATGGGTTAACAAGAATTCAAAATAATTGGTTAAAGGTTAAGCCTCACTCATACTAAAAATAAGGTCATTTAAATCAACTAGAGTCCATTATCACCTATTAAAATCACCAAAAGACTAAAAAATCATAATGAAAACTCACATTAAGTTGCTAGAAGTGGACATTAAAAATTAGTACAGTTACTGTCTTCTGTAGATTAATCTTATAACATATGACAAAAGCATTTTAAACTGATAAGCCCCTTGACCTGATAAATCCACTTTAAAGTCTAAGAAAATAACTCAAGGGAAGCAGGGTGCAGAAAAAAAACACCTAGCCAGGAAAAAACATAAGTGAAAAAGTAGAAGCAACAAATGCTCAACTGGAAGATGGGTTCAAAAAGTGGAAGCAACAAATGCTCAACTGGAAGATGGGATCAAAATATAACATCTTAAATACAACTGAATTTTCTCTTACCATTAAAAAAATGATGACTATTTAATTACACAAGTATGTGCAAAAAATATAAAGCATAAAATATACAGAGAAATATAAAGCATGAAATGAACATTGGTTACAATTATGTAAAACTTTGCCTTTACAATATAAACAAAAGGAAATATCTAGTAAGCTGACTTTTTTACTTAAATATCCCATCAAGTTAATTTTTAAAAAAATCTTTTTAAGTCTCCTTTTCCACTTGCTTAAAAAAGACTAACCTGTATACACATACAGACTGTAAGAGGCATAAAGGTAAAGAAAAACATTTTCAATATACTTCAACTTTAAAACTGTTTTTAAAGCAGTATTGGTAATTATATGTTAAAACATATATTAGTAGGCACTGTTGTTTTTGCCTTTTGATGGACAGGCAGAACTTAAGTCCAACAAAGAGCCTGACTATAAATAACCTGATAATACATAGTTTTTCAAAAATAATTTTATACTGCTGAGAAATTATTACCATTAATAGTACAGATGTCTAGTTTACCCTTGTAATGATTCTTATATCACCTTTGGTAAGTTGCAAAATAAAAAAAAATATTTAATGAGTAGACTGTATAATAATTAATAACATGAACTCACTTGCAAAACAAAGAAATATCAAAATAAACAAGTAATTTAATATTGTTCTATTAAAAGCATATTTTAAACCATCTTGTTTATATTTAATGCTCCAACTTTCTTTAACTTTGCCTGATTTTCCTCATTTGGATCTTATTTGATGGAAAGATAGCTGAATTTAGATTTCAGTAACAGCACCCCTTTCTTGTTTCATTACCTTACAATTCACTATGCATATGATTAATACAGAACTTCCTCTCCAAAATAAAAAGGACCATGTTTTTGTGTCAATGCTGAACAGAAGGTGCATTTACAGTAGGTACTGTATTTGTAGGAGATACAACAGTCAATTCAATGCCTTTGGTCCTTTAATATAGAGTATATTTTTAAATATGCCCATTGTTATCTCCTTGTAATCCCAAAATCATATTTCACCAATTCTCAAAAAGGTCATAATCCACAGTTTTTATTTCGTGAAAATGCATCTGTATAAATGTGATTTACTGAAGATTTAATGAGCTATTTTCTATGATCTGAGATATACAATGATATGCTTTTTATTCGGTAGCCTATTATCTAAAACCGGCAAATTTTGGAATCACTCGATGCTCCTTATTATTTTTAATTGTGTCGTTTCTCCTAGTCCAGGGTCCGTCAACTCCCCTTCTGAGCCCCTTCTCCCCCCTCAAAAAAAAAAAAAAAAAAAAAAAAAAAGACCAAGCCTGGCCTCAGTTCCCGTATTTCAAGCCAGGACCAACCAGAAACCAGTTTTCTTCCACTAATCCGGAACTCCGGGCTGTTACCAACGTTGTCATTGGCTAGCGTCAGTCCTTGGTACGTGCCCCAAGATAACCCCCTGGTTTCTCTCCCTTTTCCCCCTACAATGGGCCTTCCCTGATGTTTGTAACATTCATAATCCACAACAGGGCATCTCTAATAATCAACTCACATTCTTCAAAGTTTTGGGGTAGAAACAAGCGAGGCTGAAGGGAAGGCTAGGTACCCTTTTCTCCGACTCGCGGGGGAGGGGGAAGGGGCAGTCGTCCTTAGGCTAGGCAACAAGCTCTGGAGGGCCGTAGGATGAGGGGTCGGGGAGGGTTGGGGGTACAAGGTGGGGAGGGAGTGGAGAAAGAGTTGGATTAAGTTGAAATGAAAACTTTACTCACCAGATCCTCGAAGCTTCTTCGGTGCTCTTTCCCCTCCCAGTCTAAGCGGCGCGGAATCAGCTGGGGGCCAGAGGAAAAGAAAGGGGGAGGGGGGGCAAAAGATGAAGGCGAAGCCTCCACTCCCCATCAACTGGACCCAGGTCCTCGACCCTTGGTGTCTTTATTTCTCTTGTCCCAGTAGCTACTACCTCAAAGGTAGACGGGTGTGTGTGTGGAGGGGTGGGGGGAAGGCCGAGGGGTGGTATATCCTGTAAAACCGACTCCCAAAGACATAAAGAGGGGGCGAGTTAAGACCCCAGCATCGGCCGCCCCCTTTAAGAGAAGAAACCGGTTCACCCTTGTGATAACAGCTACGGGTGCCCATATAGAAGCCTCCCTCCTGGCGCCTGCCCTCCGCCTAGGACTTGCCCTCCCCTTCCTACAGTCTCACCCCAACCTTCCCCAAGGGGCTCCTTACCTGATGCTCCTCGAGCTCCTGCACTAGCACCTGAGCAAAAGGGAAACACGGATATGAAGAGCAGCTCAAATCACCAACCCATTCCTCCTTTTCCACTTAGAACCCAGCCACTGACGGTAGGACTAGTCAAGGCCGGCCTTTCCCTCACCCTCAACGCAACTGCTCTCACCCCGCTGCCTCAATTTCCCCCACAGGAACCATTCCCCACGACTCCCGGATCATCTTCTCCCTCTCACCTGAGCGGATTTGTTGCAGGGTCCGGACTGCAAGAACCTAGCGATCAGGTAATACAGCTCTGAGGAAGAGGGGGGGGAAAAGAGGTTGAGAGGAAGGTAAAGAAGAGAAATAGAAGCTTTTTCAAAAGAAACTGACAGCCATCGCGCTAAGCCCCCATCCCCTTAGCCTCTGGACACAGCTACCCACCGGCTTCGATCTGAGTAGGTGCCGCCGCCATCCTTTTCCCGAGGGGGTTTGGGGGGCTCGCTTCGGAGGGGTTGGCGGGGGCGGGTGGAGGCGCTGCCTCTATTGTGGTGAAGCCCCCATGCCCGGGAGTCCCGCCGCTTCCGCCGCACTCCTCGTCCCAGTTTCGGTCTCTCTCGAATTCATCGCATCACGTTTCGACCCATAGATATTCTAGCCCAAGAGCTGAGGAGGCGGAGGAGGAAGGAGAGGGAGAGAGAAGAGGAGGGAGGAGCCGAAGTCGCGGAGGGGTGGGCGGGGGCAAAGGGGGTGGAGAGAGGGGAGGGTAAAAACGTTGAAACAAGCCTGCAGCACTCGCTGGTCGCCGCCAGAGGCACTAACGCAAACGCCTGACTTTAGCTCTTCCAGAGGACTGAGGGTTGCCTAGCTACGGCTCTAGAAAGGAGAAGGAGGTGCTAACTGACAACCGACGCTCTGGCAACCGCCGTAGAACTCTGTGGTGGCGTTGGCGTCCGCGAGCTCTGGACTCGCTTGCCATTCCTGTGAGGGCAGTTGGGCCCTTTCCGGCAGAGAATTCTTCCTGCTTGGGTGGTGAAGAACTTGTGGGGGGCTGCCTAGACTCAGTTGCCTTCATGGGGCACCTAAGCGGTTTTGTTTTTTTCCCTCCCCCACCAACAGGAGGCTAGCCCATAATGGGCATTATGATTAAGAGAAGAAAACATGATTTTTGTACCAATTGAAAATGCTGTACTTACGGGTCCCGAGTGTGGTGCTAAAATTGTTACAAGACTACTTAAAATGTCCCCCGATTCTGAAAAAGATTGCTTGAGAAATTTTCTGTCAGCCATGAAGCATTTACTCCTTCTGAAAGTTTAACATAAGCTATATCTGTCCCATTCCTATTGGATAGTTTTTATCGTGTTTTCAAACATCCGACTACTTAAGGATTTTTTTTTTTTTTAAGTATGGCCTGGTTATGGAAATCTGTATATGCAAGGTAGTTTTCCACAGATTTGGGACTGCATTTGTTACTTAATATGTAACCCCCACTCTTAGTACACACTGTCTTTTGATCAAAGTGTTTGTGTAATAATTGACACAGACAGTAAACTAGGTCTCTCTGTTCCTATTTCACTTACATCCTGTTCTCACCCCACCTTTAACTAATATAATTAATAAAAGCTGAACCCGATGAGGCTAGAAATGTTGTTGGAGTTGTGATATTATGTTGAAATATCCAAATTTGAAATTTCACCTAAATTTAGGGTGTTATTAGGAATTTGATTTCCTCACTTATAATTCAGGCATTGACCACAGCGGGTCTAGAATTCCATTAAATTGACATGAACTTTATCCAAATTGACTAGCTTGCTCCTGTAAGTGCCCTATCTCTCCTTCCCTCCCTCTCCCCCTCCCTCTCCCCAGCTCCCTCCCTCTACCCCCCCATCCACCCCAGCCATTTTTTCCTCAGCAATAAATATATGGTGATTTTAAATTGATGGATTTATCTTTGCTTGGCTATGGTACTTGACAAAACAAATACCATTAACAAAAAATTAGATAATGAAAAGATATAAGACCTAGACAAATCGTTACAAGTGATTTAGCAAAATACCAGAGTGAATAATTTTTATCATTCAAGTATAATAGTTTATCAAACCACTACAAAGTACTTTACATTCTTTTACCTCATTTAATCTTTACAGTGACCCTAGGAGTAGGTTAGAAAATTACCCTATTATACAGATAATAAAAATGACTTTATGACTTTGGACCCCTAACATTCTGTGAACCTTATTCCTCACCTGTAAAGTGTGAGTAATGAATAATATTTTCCATGCTTCACAAGAATTTTTGTAAAATTCATGCGAGAATATGTTTATGTTCAATTTCAAAATTTATGTGGCACTGTTGTTTCAATAATTACTTCTGTATAAGTAGAGAAAAGAGAGAAAAAGCATACAATAATTAGAACAGAAATTTAAGGTGAAGAATAATAACAGAAGATTGGAGTAAGGAGGTATTATCTAGTAAGGACTAAAAAGAACTCCAGAGAATATAGACTACAAGATATATAGTAGACATAGGAGATAAAATGGATATAGCCAGTACCACCTAGAACTTATATAGAACACCCTCCACCCCAACTCTACAACCAGAGCTAAGCTTCAGATTTTGTTGAAGATGCAGCTGACAGGCTTGCTCACCCAATGGCAGGAAAAATGCTGCAATGCCTTGCAGGCAGAGATTGCTAACACTCCAAACTCTGAAAATTACTGAAATTTGGCCCACTGGAACTTGCTAGAAACTCATCCTCTAGAATTAATCTTTTAGGGCTCCTGAGAAAGACATTCACAGGGAAGTCTCACCATAGGCACTTTACTACAAAACCAACCAGAGAGAGGATACCAGGGGAAGTTGCTTGTTCCTGCTGAAACTGCATCACAGAAGCCAGGCCAAAAAAAAAAAAAAAGAGATTGTACATCTTTAAGGAGCAGTCTATCCATTGAGCACATCAGAAGCAGAAAGCAAAATCTCCTGCACTATCTTTCTTGCATCTTTTACTGATAAAGTGTTGATGCCAGATAACAAAAGAAAAAATATTTAAATGACCCAGATGCTTTATCACAGAGAAGTGAGGGTGAATTTGGAGATGATAAGCAACTAGTTGATGAAAATGGCATAAATTATATGCTGTTCTCCTGGCTATAATGAAATACATAAAGAAGTTATTGGAATGTGTATGTTCACTGAAAATGCATTTGTCTGTTGTTCAGAATCAATGCTAATTAATTGGAGCTAATACTTTAAAGATTTTATAACATTTTGAATCAATAGTTTTAACTGTGGGACCAAAGTTTTAATTGGGAAGAGAGTGAAAACTTCATAAAACTATAGCCAAAAAATGGATTTACAAAGAAAATATTCTAGAATGTTTACTAGGTAGGTGTATTAGTTTCCTAGGGCTGCCATAAATCATTATGAACTGGATGGCTTCTAACAACAGAAATTTGTTCTCCCACAGTTGTGGAGGCCCAAAATCCAAAATAAGAGCCATGCTACCTCTGAAAGCTCTCAATGATAATCCATCTTTGACTCTTCCAGCTTCTGGTGACTCCTGGCAGTTGGCAGTTGGCAGTTTTTATTGTTTCCTAATCTCAGCTTCTTTAAGAAAACTAAGTTGTATAGAATACTTAAAAAATGCATACATTGTAATGTTAATATTTTAAACATACTTCTTAGGTTTAAAATGCTTAACAATAATAGGAAAAGGGGGACAAGGGAGTAGGACTGTTTAAAAGTAACATTTGTATAACTCATGAGAACTAAGTTAGTGTGAGAGTAAAGTATATTCTGATAAGCTAAGAGTTATATAGTAAGCACAAAAACAACTACTAAAAAAAGCCCAGAAAATATAGTGAAACTATCATTATAAATTGCACTGCAAAATACTTAATACAAAAGAAAGCAAAAAAGGAGAAATAGAACAAAAATGCATGAGATATATAGAAAACAGAATTGAAATGGGAAATGTAAATTCATCTACATTAATAGTAACATTACATGTGAGTGGAAACATACCACTTCTACCTGACAGCATGAGTTTTGTGGACAAGCTCCCATATGAAATTGATGAAAATGAAAATACAAACAACCATCTAAAGTCTCTGGAAATTGTCCTAATGACATAAAGCAAATGAAAAAAAAATCATTCAAGAAAATGTAAAACTCTTAAGAACTGATAAAGTCTGTGGTACTTGAACCAAGACTCAGTCTGTTCCAAGCCTGCTCTCCCAAGCCTATTGTAAAGGCAACTTTGGCTCCAAACCAAAATAGGCAAGAATGGAGGACACCTAATTCCCTAGTGGAGGGTAACTTCCTTCCTGGAAGGGGCAGGACAATAGCATTTCTAATGTTTCCCCTGATTCCTTGTTATTGAGGCTAAATGCTTCTCCAGTGTAGACACTAGGTGGTGGTTACCTTCTACTCAGCAGTATACATGGCACAAAACTACATGTTGGATGTGGTGCCACCGAGTATAGTGGAGCCTCAAATGACATGGACTTTAATTGAGGAGCAATAGTCATGATAAAGAGAAGCAAGCCAAATGACCTAGGGCTATTGCCCACTTCCTCTTGCAAACAGGCATCTTTTAAAGTAGGAATATCAAAGAGAAATCAGCTGTGTCCCAGCCCATATTACCAGATTTGTGCCTCAGAGATTTTGCTCTAGGTAAAAATGCAGACCTTACAAGAGCAAGCTCCAACTTTGTGCTCAAAGGAAATGACTTTATTTGCACCCCAGTGTGGAGAAATTCAAACCTATGAATGCTTTAGAAAACAAAGATGGTTGTGATAAAAGGCAGCTGGGAGGAAATTGATTGATTCATTGGAGTCTTAGGCTAAACTGTAGGCCAGCTAATTTGCTAGAAACAGAGGAAAAGGACACCTGGGAAGAGCCCTCCAGGAGCCAGACCAAATCTCAAAACATTGACCTAGAGAAATATCCTTTCAAAGGAACCCAAATTTGACTGGCTCTGTCTGAAGCAATTTATCCCCCAGGGCATTGTTGGAGACAATAGGGCAATCAATCAGCAGACAACTAGTGGTAGTGGGGTTTAAGAGCTGAAAATGGTCAGAGGAAAAAATCCCCAAAAACTAAGAGAGCCCTGACACAAACCAGTATAGTTCAAGGATGATTATGTGCATACTCAAGACTGCACCCACTGAGGAGCAACATCAGTGGCTTTACACAATGAATTAGCAAGCACATAACAATAAAAAGACCAGGAGTAGCTGGAACTAGTACTCAAGGCTGCTACAATATATTTTCTAAAGTACCCAGTTTCCAATAAAAAATTATGAGACATGACAAGAAACAGGGAAGTATAAACCATATGCTAGAAACAAGCAAGGAGCAGAAACTGCCTGTGAAAATGAGCACATCAGATTTAATTAATTAAGTCTTCAAAGTAGCCATTATAAATGTGTTCCAAGAAATAAAGAAAACTGATTAAATAAAATAAAGGTGATGACAACTACCACTAAAAAATGAATATTAAAAAAAGTAAAGGAAAGTGGGCGTAGAATCCCATCAGCTGGGGAGACTGAGACAATCATGAGTTCAAAGCCAGCCTCAGCAAAAGCAAAGTGCTAAGCAACTCAGTGATACTCCGTTTTTAAATAAAATACAAAATAGGTCTGGGGATGTGGCTCAGTGGCCATGTTCCCCTGAGTTCAATCCCCAGTACCCAAAAAATAAAAAAATAAAATAAAAAATGTAAAGGAAAGGCAGGGGCCATGGCACACACCTGTAATCAATCCCAGCAACTCTGGAGGCTGAGGCAGGAGGATCATGAGTTAGAGGTCATCTTAAGCAATTTAGTGGGACCCTGTCTCAAAATAAAAATTCACGGGGGTGTGTCTCAGTGGTAGAGTGCCTCTGAGTTCAATCTGAACGAACTCCTCCACGCAAGACACTTCGCAGGGAGAGTTCCACTTTATTACAAAAGGCTGTGGGCTTATATAGATCTAAGGAGAGATGGCAGGGCTTAGGTAAATGACGGGTCACTCGTTTATTGGTAAGTTCCTCCAGAAGTCAGTTCCGGAGCCCACGAAATTAGTTCTCATTGGGGCTAAGGTTTCCTTCCAGCGAGATTTGAAATGGGCGCCAGCAGGAGTTTTTGGCGCCAGCAGGAAAGGGAGAGGCAGGAAGAGAAGCTCCTCAGGCGCCATGTTGGTTTTTTTTGGGGGGGTGTAGCTGCCATTATACCTTTTCCCCAACACAATCCTCAATACCAAAAAAATAAAAAGAAATAATAAAAAGTATTTACAAATTGGTCATTAAATTGATATAGATTATGAACTCTGAAAAACAGAAAAAAGTGATGAAATATGAAAAAGAAAAAATGAAATGAGCTTTAGAGAAATGTGGGTCAACATTAAATATACTAATATATATGTTATTTATAAGTCTTAGAAGGAAGAGCAAGAAGGAAGCAGAAAAAAAAATTATTCAAAGAAGTAATGTCTGAAACCTTTCTAAATTTGTTGAAAAACCATAAACTTATATAATACAGGAAGCTCAGTGAACTGCAAGTAGGATAAATGCAGAGACTCATAAAACATACATACTATATTAAAATGCTGAAAGTCAAAGAAAATTTGAAAGCAGCAAGAAAAAAATGACTCCTCACTTTTAGGGAAACATTACAGCTGAATTCCTATCAGAAACTATGGAGAACAGAAGGCAGTAGGGTGACATATTTAATGTGACCAAAGAATGAACACATCAAACAAAAATGCTATTTTCAGCAAAGATAACTTTAAAAATGGAAGTGAGGATGTCCAGTGCAGTGGAACAAACTGGTAATCCCAGCACCTTGGAAGACTGAGGCAGGAGGATCACAAGTTCTTAACCAGTCTCAGCAATTTAGCAAGGCCC